ATACCATAGGTTCCACCAACTCCAAACCAAGGTGTAACTTCAACAAAGGGTATACAAGCAATATAGTGACGCAGAACTCTCAACACAGTCCTAAAGCATAGAACTGCAGGTAATCCCATGGGACATGCCCACTCCAGCATGTGCAGGTCCAGCGGTTACAACAGGGATGGCAAAGCATCAGCAATACACAACTTAGTAATGCACAGTCTATGAATATATACTACTTGAACCAGACAAAACAGTGGCATTCACTCCTATGCCACACGGGTCTATCCATCCTGTCACACAGGAACTCACTGGCTGAATTCTCATCTCAGGGTTTCTTTCTTCTGGATACTGATTGCTTATCATCTTAAGACCCCTTTTAACTCAAGCATACACTTTTTCTCAGCTCAGCAGCAAGCTTTGCTTGCTTTGATCTGCATGCTTTCCCGCTTATGTGAGCCTCCCCCCACTTCATTCCAATGAAAAGTCCTTCCCCCTCTACCTTGAGGCGACCTCCCCCACTCCTTTCTTCTCCGAAGAGCCCCCCTGCTCAGAAAGGGATTCTATCTCTTGTTCCATTTCTGTCAGGGAGCTTGCCCTTCAAATCCTTTTTATTTGAGGGCCCCTGCTCCATCTGTGTGAGCCCTTCTCACCTCTGAAAGGATCTCATCCCACTTCACTCACTTTTTGGGAAGGGTCCTACCCCTCCCTTCCCTTCTTCATACCTGGTGACAATGATCCAGCCACCAGCTGGTAGAGGGATCGCGCTGCCTGCCCCAAAGGGCTCCGGCACCTGCGGGGGCAGCGGTTCATGGTTCAGCTGAGTCTGTGGCCAAGCTCCGCCCCCAAGGGACGGGGGTGGGGGTGGGGCCGGCGGTCTCCGCCCCTCATCTTCTGTGGGCTCTGCGTGGGCAGTCAGGAGGGCGTGGCCCACAGGCAGAGTATTTCTGATTCTCTGTTCTGTTGAACACATTCTAGCCCCGTCATCTGAAGTGCCCACCCCCCAAATTCCTACAATGGGGCGAGGTGGAGGGGCCGTGCAAAGCCTCCTCACTGCCTTCTCTTCCAACGTCTTCTGGATTTCTGGCAGGGTATCCAGTTACACACAGATTTTGGGAGAAGAGCTAGATGGGGAATAAGTCGTATTGTCCCTCTTCTGCTGCCTCTCTTCCACCCCCACCCCTCCATATTGCCACAAAGATGCTAAGGGGTAAGAGGACATAGTTGTCATGGCAACTCTCCACACTTCCATACTTCCTGGATCAATGGGAGAAAAAAAAACAAGCAAGAGAAAGGAAACACACATCAGCATGTTAGGGTGGCAAAGAGGAGGCAGTAGGGCTGGATACCCAGAGCTACCCAGTCCTGGCTCCAAATCCCTTTTATAACTGTTTTTATCTTTCCATCCTGGTCTAGCAGATTCAAAGACTCCATCACCATTATGCTAGCCGCCGGACAAATGCCTCAAGTAGAAGCTTAATTATCCCTCTCTCTGCCCTAGTTCCTTTCCCAGGCTCATCTCTACCAGGTAAGACGCAAAGGCACTCCCTTCCAGGATCCCTGGATGCTTTCAGGGTTCTGGGAAAGCCTACAGAAAAGATAAGTAATCCCATTCCTCCGACGGTATCCTTATTCTTGGAGGTGGAGTTTTGGAAACTCTGCATTTAAGAGGACATCTTAAACTGGTCATTCTGCCCACTTGATCTGGTGATGGTCTCCCCTTGGAATTAGTTTCATACGCATGGCTTCTCTAAGCCACACGGGGGCGCCCCACTCCCAGCAACAACGCCCACAGCCAGAGGGACAGGACTCCCCCAGCTCCTGGTCCCAGAGACAGCACAGGCCTGCCTAGTCAGATCCCAATTCTCTCCAACTTCTATCCCTTCTCTGCTTCTCGCTACTGATTGCAATCTTTTCTCACAGCATGAACTTGCCAAAAGGGCCCAGGAGGGGTAAGATAGGGCTTGGATCTCCAACCCCTCCTTAGAACACTCCTTCCCCACTCCTCCCTTTTCCCCCCACCCTAGCTAAATAAAAGTATTTTCCAGCTCTAGTTGGAGCTCAGGGTGCAAGTAGGAATAGCTGTCAGGGATATCCAGAATGTCTTCAGGATAGGGTCTCTCCTCTGATGGATCTGGATACTGGGGCTGGAGACTGCCCTCTTATATCAGATCCCAGGAATCCCTCCTGCACAGGGAAGGGAAGCAGAAGCCTGAAGCAAGCTTCAGCACCTAGGACAACTCTCCTTCAGATTTCAACAGGCAATTCAGAGAGCTCAGTGCTGTTAACACCATTTAGACTCCTGTTATTAACTAAGCCCTCTTTTGAGAGGAGACTTCCTGGTAGACCTCTAATTCTTCTTCTTGGGCTAGGAAGGTGGCTCAGTGGTAGAGTGTTTTGCCTCACATGCATGAGGCCCTGGGTTCGATTCCTCAGCACCACATAAGCAAAAGAAAAAAAAGCCGGAAGTGATGCTATGGCTCAAGTGGTAGAGCGCTAGCCTTGAGATGAAGAGCTGAGGGACAGCGCCCAGGCCCAGAATTCAGGCCCCACGACCGGACCAACAAAAAACAACTAAATCTTCTTCTCAAGTCATATGTGGCGCTATCTACAGCAAGGATGCCAATGATCTGGACTATTATCATAGATGCTTGTCAACATTTGACCTTGGGGCTTACTCAGGCCTCCCACTTACTTGGCTTTTGTGCTCAAGGCTGACATTCTACCACTTCAGCCACCCCTCCACTTTTGGCTTTTTGCTAATTAATTGGAGAGCAAAAAAGTCTCACAGGCTTTTCTGCCTGGACTGGTTTTGAACCGCAGCCCTCAGACCTCAGCCTCCTGAGTAGCTAGAATTATAGGCATTACCTTTAGCACCCAGCCATTTGGCCTTCTTGTTAACTTTGGAAGGTTGGCGGCAGGCAGGTAGGAAATAGTATTCCCTACTGTGAAGATAAGAAAAGTGAGACCAAGAAAGCAAAAGTCACATAGTCAGTACACTTCCATTCTGACTGACCTGAGGTGGTACAACTTCAAACAAGTGATTCCTCACTTCCTCCAATCTTTTTTTTTTTTTGTCATGGGGCTTGAACTTGGGGTCTGAATGCTGTCCCTGAGTGCTTTTGTTCAAGGCTAGCACTCTACCAGTTTGAGCCAAAGTGCCACTTCCAGTTTTCTGGTGGTTAATTGGAGATAATAGTCTCACAGACTTTCTTGCCCAGGCTGGCTTTGAACTTTGATTCTCAGATCTCAGCCTCCTGAGTAGCTAGGATTACAGGCATGAGCCATCAGCACCAGGCTTACCCCAATATTTTGATTCCAATATGGAGGAGATTTCTTTAAAGGGGTATTAGCATTTGGTAGGTATGTCATTAAAGTGGGTATGTTAATAAGGACCCTTTAGCGCTTACTACTCTCAAGGATCCTGAGCTGGGAACAGAGTTCATAGTACAGCCAGGTAGCAAACCCTTGGAGTCCACCCACATGTGAAGCACATCTGGAGCACATCTGGCACTGTCACATATCTGGGGACTGATGAGTGAATTTCTCCCTTTTGGGGGTCTTAAGCAGAACAACTAGGATCTCCCAGGGTTACTGACTTGGGTAGACACTTAAGGCGACACATGCCAATATCCTCCCCCATTCCCAGGTCTCAACAGGACTCCATTTAGGCAAGATAAGGCTCATGATCTTTCTTCACCTTTGTTTCAGCCTCAGGAGAGACAGCTTCCCTCCTCCCTCTGAGCTCTCATGAAGTCTGCACAATGTAAGACACACACACACACACATGTACACAAAGGAACAGTCATCTACACAAAACATGGACAGACCTACTACACCTAGAGGTGTACTGGCTTCACATACCTCCCAAAATAGGAAAGAGGCTGTCTGGGCAGCAGCGTGCTTTGGGGGAGATACAAGGAGAATCTCCCTGCAGTTCCTAGGCTTAGAGCTTCTGTCTCTAGCTCTGGAAGGAGACAAGTGGATGTGTTTTCTCTGGGGATTGGGCGAAGCTCTGAAAGGGTTTGTGGGAAATAAAGAAACTTCAGTATTTTCCCTAGGGTAGGGGCTGAACCCAGCACTAAACAAAGCTTTTCTACAGGAACCCAATACTGGAACCATGGCACATTTCTAGGAGTGTGTCTGAGCTGCTGGATACCTTAGAGCCCCTCTTTGGTTCCACCCTGGCTATGTGAAGAAAACTTGAGGAAGAAGTGAGGTACACTAAAAACCCCCATCTACACCAGGAACTGAGAGAGCTAGCAAGGGTAAGAAACACGAAGACTCACAGAGCCTCACTACAGGCGTTACGCATAAAAGTATACAGCCAACACCAAATGCTAATATAACACACAAGTTCCACAATCACAAAACATAACACAATCCACTCTAGTAAATCTGTGTCCCAAGAGGTTCATGGTCATAATCTTATAAAGAGACAAATCAACATAAAGTGAAACTCTGCTACATTATGGAAATCACACACCACTTCATACTAATTCATGCGGGATCACACACTAAAAGCACATAGTTGTGCATACAAGACACACACATGTTCAAAACAGTAAGCACAACCAGGGACCTATACAACCTCACACAACAGCTGATATGATCATACAATCACACTGCCACAGGCAGACACACTCACCCTAGCTGTCACCAAGCCTACAGGCACATGGCAACCAGCTGTGGGAGGCGCACACATACATACACAGACACACATAAAATGACAGGCGCTCACAGCACGTAACACCTCCCACTCCAGACACACTCCTAGCCCTGTGGCATACACTCCCACACCTGCTGGCTCCCTACACCTGCCCCACCTGCTCCTCAAGCCTCCCCTCACCCCCAGGCTTTGAACCTCTGGGCCCTGCTGCTCAATGGGGAGGGTGCCTGGGAATGGGACAAAGTGCGAGTATGGGCCAGGTCAGAGGTTAGAGAGGTGGAAAGGTCTTGAGGTAGGGGAGACAGAATCCACCCACCCTTCTGAGACCCCTGTGTCACCGACTCACCGGTAAGCTGGTCGTAGGAGCCATCCAGATCTCGGGAATCGGACAAACTCTCCTTGCGGCCCTGGCCCCGCATGGCCCCCGGCGCCCCGCTCCCGCCTGGGCCGTGGGAGGGGGCGCCGGGTGGCCTGGATAGGGCGCTCACACGGCGCCCCCTGGCGGCCTAGTGCGCTGCAGGGGCTAGGGGTCGAGCGAGTAGGGTCTGGGGCTCTAGAGACAGACCCCTGTCCTCGGGTCCACCTGCTGGTCCCAGGGCCGGAGCAGGAGGCTCCAGCAGCAAGTGAGCACAGAGCCCGAGGCAGAGCTGGGCGCAGAGCTGGAGCTAGAGCCCAACCGCCTCTCTTCCCGCCCCCTCCCCGCGGCTGTCACTGCCGCCTCCCCCCTTTGGCGCTGCCGGGATTGGCTCCCCCTACCCCCGCCCCCCACCCTCTGCAGCTCGGAGGAGGCACCGTGAAAGGGTGAACTGGAAAGTGCTGGGAGCTCTTCAGAAACATCAACCTCTAAACCAGAAACCATGGGTCTTGGAGGTGGGGGGAAAGGTGGGGAAAGATGGAGGAAACCCCGCCCCAATTCTCAGGACCCCCTCCCCGCCGCCATCAGTACGGTCTGGCTGATCGAGTCTGGGGTATACTTCTGAGTCCTCCAGTTCTGCCTTTCCCACGTTAGCCCCTATTTTCTCTGTAGTTCCTCTCGCGGTGGTCCCAGCCAATCCCCACTCTGCTTCAAGCTGAATGGGGATGCAGGAAAAAGTCTGCTCAGCCTCCGACACAGGCTCATTGCTCACCATGGACATTTTTTCCCCCCTTCACTCATGTTCCAGCAGGATCCAACTCTCCAGGACCCTTTTTCTGGGTCTCACTCAATTCTAGCCTGCCTTTTTGCTGATCTGACTCCCTTGGCCATCTGGGAAGGAAAACAGTGAACCAGGTCAGTTTTTTCCTTCAACTTTATTGCCCTTTTTTCTTTGTCATTTGCCTAGTCCTACAGAATTTTTTAAAAAGCATGTTTAGAAAGCTAATAGAAGGTTTAAAGAGCCAGTTGAGGATGAGCATGAAATGCTCCTTTTATGAAATCACTTTCCGTTATGATTAGCTCTTTTTCTGAGGGAAGGGTTATTAGCTCAACGCTGGGCTCCCATGTGTACTCCTTTTTCTCAGGATGGATGCTTCCCAAAGCTCCTAGTCTTAAAGCCACCAACCTGCCAAAAGGATGGGGGATGATGTCTGGTGGCTCTCCAGGACTGCCCCGCTGAGACTAAATTCAATTACGGTGACTCTAGAACATTTAGTTTCTTCAACTGGATTTAATTTCCAAATACTTGATTCCTTGCAGGAATTGTAGGAATTCCAGCGTAAGAGGGGACAGGCAGATACAGGAAGGATTGCCTTTGGGAGCAATACCCTGCTGACACTAAAGAAGACTCCATAGACTTAGCAGAGGCTGGGCATGAACAGAGTGTAAGTAAACACTTTCACACATGCTAGGCAAGTGCTCTACTTGAACCACACACATCCAGACCCCAGGCAGAAGAGCCCTAGCTAGAAGGGACCAGCACCTGGGAGATTATTTTTAGCTCTGTGGAAATGTCTGGGCAACAGAAGTTTTTAAAAAAGACACTAAAAAGACTTTCACACAAATCAATTTTTTAATCATTTGATTTGCCTCAAGTTCCAAATCCAACTGCTCTTGACTTTATCACGGAGGAAAACACATTTAAATTCCTTAGGCTAAGCTATCCATCTAGTGATCAGTGATCAGAGATGACCCTGCCTGTGTGATTGCCTAAGAATCTACATCAATTCATGGCAGTCTGTTGGTGGGTTCTCTAAAACTAGTTTATTTCTGCTCAACCAGAAGTCTGGTTCCAAGGGAGGGCAAGTATATCAAAGAGATTCAGGCTAAATGGATACCAACTTGAGAGATCCTAGACCTACTCTCACTGTTAGACTTGCTCAGATTTTTCCTGGGCCGCTTTCTCCCTGCCATCCTGCCATCCAAGGGGCTTTAGAGAGTGCTTTAGAAAGGGAGGATCTTAGAGCAGCAGCTATTTGGGGTAGCTATGGGGAAGGAAAAGCTATAGTGGTCCCATGGAAGCTATCCAAAGGGAAAACGGCAGACCAACTTCCCAAAGTCAGATTTGCCTGAGGCCCTACCCAGAATATGGGTAGGACAAGATAGAGGCCCTTTGGCTTCTTTCAGATAGAGGAGACCCTGCCCCCCAGTAGGTTTTATTCTCTCCAGGCACCAGACAACAGCAGGAACACGTTTCTCCCCAGAGGAAATTCTTGGGCAGGCTGATGTAAACAAAAGCAGGGTTAAGAGGGTAGAACAGTGGAGGGGGGCTTAGTGGAGGCTCCCAGTGGAGGAGGTGGTTTGGAAGGTGGGGAGGCTGCTGGAAAGGGAACCAGCAAAATAGGCACCTTGAGGGCTCCAGAAAAAAGCTGTCAATGTTTATTTCACATACACCTTAAGACAGCTTAAAACAAACTAAAAATGAAAGGCTAAGTTGTGAGCCTGTTGTGCTGATAAGTCAATGGACTAGAAGGCAGGAAAAGCAGAGAGTGACAGTCTTGGTGCCAAAAAGAAATCCACAAAGTGATGGACAGCAAGAGCACCAGACAGACTCCAATTTCCAACTTCTTAGAGGAGTCAACTTTAAGTTTAGAAAACAGAAAAAGGTGCCCCATTCCAACCCTACCCTAAGCTAAGGGTGCTAATGACAGGATAGAGAGCATATCTGTGTGTGGGGAGTGGGGGGGGGCAACTGGGAGGGCACAGGGGACACAGATTTCAAGCCTAGCTCAGCCCTAGGTCCAGGAAGATGCAGGATGTGGCTCAGCTATATATGAGAGTTCATCTGTTTTCAGAGGCCAAGAAAAGCCATTGGCCTTCAAGGTGTTAGCAAAACCTGAGGCTTGCCCTGCCAGCTCCTGAAAATTAAGTCAGAAGCCAAAACTTGTAATCTCAAGTGGAAATGTGAGGTATCCAGGGTGCCTAGCCTGGAAGTCTCACATTCTTGGACACCTCTCCCTTTGCCCACCCATTTCTCCCCAAATAAAATCATCCTTGGCTTGCTCCTGTTGTCCAAGCTCCACTGAAGTGGAGCCTTCACCAAGAGACTGGGTATCTGTGCTGCTCTCCAACCATAGAGGTAGCCCCCATGCCCCTTCCAGTCCAGGAGCCTCACAGGTAAGGGCTGTCAGTGGCTCAGGTGAGTGTGGTCTCAGGAGATGGTGGAGAACTCTTTTAGCAGGACCTCCTGGCTGAGTGTGTGAAAGGCAAGGTTCCTCCGGACATTGGTGCTAATGGATCGAACCTGGGAAAGGGTAGAGGGAGGTAGGAGGACACAGGCAGAGAGAAAAAAGGAGACAGTTGGTTACACACAGAAGGGCAGTGCCCAAGGCACAGGGCCAAGATGAAGTGTTGCCTGTGTATTGGCAGGGGAAAGAGCTATGAAGAGCACACAGGGCCAAGTTCCCAACTGTGGGAGAGTACCATGAGAAATCTAGCTGGCTCTGCAGGGATGGTCATCCATGGAACACAGTTTATGAGAGAGAAGGAGAGGAAAAAAGAATGTGTGCCTGGCCTGAGCCCCTAAGTCCATCAAGCTCTCCTTCAATTTCTGCTTTGCTATATAGGGAAGTAAATGAAGTCAGGCAGGAAGAAAAGGAAAGGACAGCATGGCAAATAGCAAGCAACAAAAGCTCATGAGCTCCAATTGGACCAGATCCATTTTCTACCCTGTGTCGAAGGTTCAGACAAGGGAAGAACTGAGTAGGGCAGTACCCAAGAGCCTCAGAACCTATATCCTCAAATTCTTCTTTCTGACCCTCTTCATCTCTCAACTCTCTCTCTCTTCTCTCTCCTCTCTCTCTCCTCTCTCTCTCTCTGTCTTCCAGTCCTGGGGCTTGTGAACTCAAGCTCAAGGCCTGGGTGTTATCTCTAAGTTTATTTTTGCTTAAGGCTAGTACTCTACCACTTAAGCCACCGCATCACTTCTGACTTTTTCTGCTTATGTGGTACTAAGGAATCGAACCCAGGGCTTCATACGTGCTAGGCAAGCACTTTACCATTGAGCCAGCCCAATTTAATTCTCTCTCTCTCTCTCTCTCTTTTTTTGGGTCCGGTCGTGGAGCCTGAACTCTAGGCCTGGGCGCTGTCCCTCAGCTCTTCAGCTCAAGGCTAGCACTCTACCATTTGAGCCACAGCGCCACTTCCAGCTTTTTTCTTTTTGCTTATGTGGTGCTGAGGAATCAAACCCAGGGCCTCAGGCACTCAAGGCAAGCGCTCTACCACTGAGCCACCTTCCCAGCCCATAATTCTCTTTTTAATTGCTGGCTTCCAGTAATTCTCCCTCCCCAACCCCAACATGTAAAGACTCACTGGACACCTCGTAAAAATACTCTATCTGCTCTCTCTTCATACTAATGACTTCCTTGTTGCCAACAAACTTTCCCCAAAGAAACCCTCAGGGTCAGAGTTGGGCTGTTGATTTAGCAAAAAACAATCTAAACGTCATCCCCTTTACCACAGACTTGACAAGGGGAAGTTAAAACCAAGCTGATGCGAGTTCTGCCCCAAGAGAAGAAGGTCTGAGGACATAAGTGGGTGCAAAGCCTGGGTGTCCTGATCTTGGTCCTCAGCCAGGATGTTTCTGTCCACCAACCTGTCTGGGTGGAACAATTGCAAAGAGTTTGAGCTTTTTCTGGGAGCAGCTTTCACCATGGGGCAGTAGAGGAACAGCCCATAGGGAGAGTCCAGTTCTGTGCAGATGTTGACAGCAAAGTCAAGTAAGAGGCAGAACAAATGCTTATTGGCTTTTGGTGGTAAAGGGTAGGGGCTGAAAGCTGAACGATGGAAAAGTGGGATGGGCATGGGGAAGTAAAAGTAGAGAACCATATTAGGAGGACATGCAGAGTAGGAGACAGTTATGATGTTTGGAAGAAGTGGTTGCAGGAAGAGAAGAATCCATTACTCTCATAAGTTGCACTAACAGGGTAAGGAGGGAGCATTGAGCCAGAGCTGCCACTGGGAACATACACATAATTTCAGGCCCAGTTGAGCTGGGCAAGGGCTATCTCCATGGCTGCAGAGAAGGTGGGCAATGCCATCTCAGGAACATTCTCTTCCTGTGCTGCCTTCTTCTAAACTACTTTTATAGAGAAGTATATACCCAATCCCAGTAAACTCCTCTAGTCTTGTTTTATCAGACTTCAGCAAACCTACATTTTACCTGCACAACAGTACCCAATGGCTGGGAATAGGTCTTCTAAGAGAGACAGGCAGAAACAGGAGTGGCGGTGGGGGTACTCACCAGCTCTTTGAAGAAAGCAGCTTCCTTGTGCTGCTCAGAGTAGCGCTCATACTGGTCCAGGCCATCCTGCAGCTTCAGTGTGAGTGTATCATAGTTGGCTCGTACTACCTCTAGCACCTGGGGGAAGTCACGGGTCAGGAAGGGTCTCAGTCTCGAGCCAAGGTACAAACCAAGCAGGCAGGGTGGCAGGAAGCAATTACTCTAGTTTCTGGACCACTTTCTAATCTCTTTCATTTCCTACCTTTCTTGAGCAGCCCAGCTTGGCCACCATGGCTGTTTAACTGAGGCTGTGGTAAAAAGCATGGGAAGAGGTCATGGAAAAGTGAGTGTCTGAGGTCACCAGTATCCATGATAACATGAAGGGTGTTCTCAGCCCTAATCTGAAACTTCCTCTGGCCAAGTTGCCATCATTGCTGAGTAAGACTTTGCCAAAGTCTCATTGCTTCCCCCTTTCTGGGAATCATATTTCTTCGGTCCTGGGATGTTCCTCAGCACCATCTGCCACTTGTTTTCATCTCTCAGTGCCAACTCAGCCTTCCTATCCATTGCCTGGATAGAACTTTTGGGCATCTAAGCCTCAGGGTGCAGGGAACACTTTCAAAACTAAGCTGGAGCTTCTGAAGAGGAGTAATCTCCTTAACAATGGCTCTCTGACTTCCTTCCTTCCTTCCTTCATCCCCCACATTTCTTTCTGAGACAAGGTCTTGCTATATAGCATAGGCTGGTTTTAAATGTAGAATGTAGTCCAGATGCTTGTGACCCCCTCCTCCTCTTTTTGTGGTGCCAGTCCTGAGGCTTGAACTCAGTATTTTGCACAGTCGCTGAGCGTTTTTGCTCAAGGCTGGCACTCTACTACTTGAGCCATAACTCCACCTTCAGCTTTTTTCTTAGTTAATTGGGGATAAGACTCTCGTGAGCTCTCCTGCCCAGGCTGGCTTTGAACTCCTGAGTAGCTACGATTATACAGGCCTGAGCCACTGGCACCTGGCTTGTGATCCTCTTGCCTCAGTCTCCCAAGCGCTGAGATTACAGGTATGTAATCTCACACCTGGCCTCTCTCTGACTTCCACAGACTATGGGAACTTAGGTATCTCTGGTTAAGATGGAAGAGATGACCATATCCTGGGCTAATGTGACATTAGTTTATAAAACCATATATCAAAGGCAAGACTGCTGGAGGAGAGATTCTCTATCACATTAGCAGAAATGAGTTGGGAAGAAAGGAATGACAAGGAGATGGGATGACTGTTCACTCTGGCAATCTCAGTGAAGTCATCTGAGCTTCAGGAAGGCTATGACATCATGAAGAGTTCCTTGCTCAAGAGGGAGCTTGGTTGGGTGTTGGGTGGAGGGGAGACTTGCCTCCTAGGTAGGAGGCAAGAGAATAATCTAGAGTTAGGACATGGCAGAGAGCTTGAAAATAGATGGGTGCAAAGGGCCTCTGGACTGTTCCCTTTACCAGTCCAAATTTGTGCCACAGCAGACTCCTCTTGGAAGCAAACAATCTTGCCTGCCAAGAATTCCTGAGGCAAGAGAAATGCTGAGGGGTGAACACAGAGAAGGCTTGTGTCCTTATGTGAGAGGCTCTTAAATTTCGGTTTGGAGTAAAGGGACAGCTAGGGCTGAGGTATCGCCCAGCATTCTCTCCAACCAGCTACATAGTTCATTTTGCCTGCTGTGTCCCACAAACCCCAGTACAGGCTAGTTTTTCTGCTTTTAATTCCATCTGTCAGCTTAATGGGACTTGGTACCCCGCACTGGCAGTCACCCAAAAGTAATCCAGTCCTCTCATGCAAGTGGGCTACATTTGTGACTGAAATATCTATAGCCAAGGTCTTAGCTTAGAAGCAAATGGTTTAAGTCCCCTCAAAAAGACAAAATTCCTTCAAGAGGGTACCAGTCCCCAGGAACTAGGTAAAATAAAATGTTTTCCTAAGCTGTAAAATCTAAGCAGCTTCAGCAATGTCTACAACCCAACAATTTAGTGTTGGCCTTCCCTTTGGGAAAGATAAATACCATGCTAAAGCCAACTGCTGAAAAAGAAGGTACAGTAAATAGAGGGCCACTTCTTCTAACTTCTCCAAAAAGACTGAGGCCTCACAGAATGTCATCTGAGCATTTTCCTCTAACTGGCAAAGAGTGGACAGTCTAAAGTCTTGCTCAGAACAGAGGAAAGTTGCCTGTCAGTTCATCTAGCCTCTGCTGTCTTCTGTAGAAAGAGTAGCTTCAGTATCCTGAAGTTCAGTATTCAGGGTTGATGTTAGAACTCCCATGGCTCCAGACCTTGTCATTTCTCATCAGTAGCAATTGGAGACCTGTCTACTCAGTCCTGCTCAACCACTAACAAAACTTTACAGAGCAAAAAACCCCCAACCAATCAACTAAACAAACAAACTTTACAGAGCACTCCACACTCATTTTCAGCAAAATTAGATTTGGCTGCTATTTTGATTTCCTAGTGCTTATTTAGAAGCTCAGAATTTATATGCCTTTAATTTTCAGTTGGGCTTTTTAGGCTTCATCTATCTTGTGGTCTTCAGGCTAAGGGTAGAAAGACTTAATAAATGCTCATATCTCAAGATCAATCTTTCATCTAAATAGACAACAATCATTTTGTTCTCCTTCCTTCCTTCCTTTCTTATCTCTTTCTCTTTCTTTCCTCCTCTTTTTTTGTTTCTTTTGTCGTCTCTTTCTTTCTTTCTTTTGTCGGTTGTGGGCTTGAACTCTGGGCCTGCGACTGTCCCTGAGCTCTTCAGCTCAAGGCAAGCGCTCTACCACTTTGAGCCACAGCACCACTTCCAGTTTTCTGTTGGTTTATTGGAGATAAGAGTCTCACAGACTGTCCTGCCTGGGCTGGCTTTGAACCATGATCCTCAGATCTCAGCCTCCTTAGTAGCTAGGATTATAGGTATAAGCCATTGATGCCCAGCTATTCTGTTCTATTTCTTACCATTCTGCTTTAATCCTGTCAAACCCCTAATCATAGAAAATGAAGCTCTGGTGCTATCAAACAAGTATACAAGTTCAAAGGGAATTAGGAAGATAAAGCTTTTTAAGGGGGCTGGGAATGTGGCTTAGTGTAGAGTGCTTGCCTGGCAAGCATGAAGCCCTAGGTTCAATTCCTCAGTACCATATCAACAGAAAAGGCTGGAAGTAGTCCTGTTACTCTCAAGTGGAAGAGTGCTAGCGTTGAGCAAAAGAAGCTCAGGGACAGTGCCCAGGCCCTGAGTTCAAGCCCCAGGACTGGCAAAAAAAAAGAAAGAAAAAAAAAAAACCTTTTCGGGGCTGGGCACATGTGTAATCCTCATTGCCAAGAGGCTGAGATTGCAGGATCTCAGTTCAAAGTGGTAAAGTGCTAGCTTTGGATACAAAAGCTCAGGTCTAGGTCTCCAGTACTGGCACACCACATCATACCACACACACACACACACACACACACACACGCATGCATACACGCACGCGCGCACACACACACATGCTGGGCGCTGGTGGCTCACGCTTGTAATCCTAGCTACTTAGAAGGCTAAGATCTGAGGATCATAGTTCAAAGCCATCCTAGGCAGGAAAGTCCATGAGACTCTTATTTCCAATAAACTAGTCAGAAAAATCTGGAAGTGGTACTGTGCTTCAAGCGGTAGAGTGTTAGCTCTGAGCACAAAGAGGCTCAGGGACAGTGCCCATGCCCTGAGTTCAAGCCCCAGGACCACCCTCCCCCACAAAATAAGGCTTTTCAGAGGGTTTCTATGTAAATCTCTTTCCCCACTGGACTCTGATTTTTTAAGACACTGTCTCACTAAAGCCCAGGTTGGCCTAGAACTCCAGATCTTTCTGCCTCCTTAATACTGGGTTTACTTTGTCCTGCTTCAGATATTCACTTAACTAGTTAAAAGAAATTTTTAGGGGGCTCAGTTTCTTCTACAAAATGGAAATGATGTCTTGGGCAATCAAACTGTTCAATCCTTTGTGAAGGCTACTGTGTACTCCGCAGTTTCTTTAGGGGTAAGACCAGGAGGTCAGAGCAGTGAACAATTTCAAGGGGTGGCATGGAGAATAAACCTAAATATTCAGCTCTGAGTTATATGAATACTTTGTCCCTGATCCATTGTGAAGGGATAACCTTCCTAAACTGTCCACAGACCAAACTTTCACTATTTCCCCATCATCAGCTCATAGAATTCACAGTATCTGCTCAGACTCCTCTGACAGAAAAGACAAATGAGGGGATAGTGATGTTACTGTTTGAAGTTTCATAGCTTAAAGGTAGGGAGGCAGAAGGAGGAAAGAAGAAAATGAAGGAAGGAAAGAAGGAATGAAGGAAAGAGGAAGGGAGGAAGAGAAGGAGAGATAGAGATAGAGAAAGAAAGATAGAAAAGGAAAGAAGAGAAAGAGGAGAAAGGGTAAGAGTCTGCCTTCATCTTGGTGCTGGTGGCTCATGTCTGTAATCCTAGCTACTAAGGACCACGGTTCAAAGCCAGCCCGGGCAGGAAAGTCCATGAGACTTTATCTCCAATTAACCACCAGAAAAGTGGAAGTGGCGTTGTGGCTCAAGTAGTAGAACACTAGCCTTGAGCTGAGGAGTTGAGTTCAAGCTCCAAGACCAACAAAACAAAACAAAAAACAAAAATAAAGTCTATCTTGCGATTCACATTCCATCCTCCACTTACTTGTTGGTTAGGCCTCAGTTTTCTCATCTTTAAAATGGGAAGAGCAACACTTTCATCAAATAGAGCTAGTTCTGAGGACTAAATAAGGCAATGAATATAAGGTGCCAAGCATACCACTTCAACAGTCAAAGTGCTTAACAATTGTAACCATTACTATTATTTTCTAAGCTCTCTCCATCCTACAATCATTTTTTTTTTTTTTGGGTCCGGTCATGGGGCCTGAACTCTGGGCCTGGGCACTGTCCCTCAGCTCTTCAGCTCAAGGCTAGCTCT